GGTAGAGGGGGAGATGGGAGATGGGGAGAAGTGGGGAGAGAGGAAGAACAGTTAGAGGTTACTGGAGCTACAGGCTGCAAAACCCCTTCTCCAGTCCCCACCCACAGCAGCAGCAACACAGTGAGACCCAGAGCAGACACAGGCGTGGGGTCACAGCGCAAAGGGAAAGCTGGTTACACGAGCTCCTCGAGCTCACTCTGCCGCTCAGTCTGATCACAGGCAATCCCAGTCCCAAACCCAGTCACTCTCCCCCTTCCCACCCCACCTCCATTTGTATACATCTCCCAACAGCAAGTTGCTAAGGCTGGAGAGGGGAGGGCCTGAACCCCTCCCCTCCAGGAGTGGAAGGGCACACTGTCAGGATGTGAAATAATCTGCAGTCGGATTTTAACATTCCCACACCCGAGTACGTAGATTCGATCAACCACAGCAAACCCTCCGATCATCTCAAACTCCTCAGTTAGACCACTCCACTATCTCATGTACTCGGAGGGAATATAGGCCCTGTCCTTGTTATTTTACCCTTCCTGCCCCTGGGGCGGTTATGTTCAATCTGACCCCACAACTTCCCTTCCAAGGCCTCTACCCACCACCCCCCTCTCCCTGAGGGGGCGAGGCTGGCTCTGGCTGAGATCCCACCCAGTCACTGTGCAGCAAAAGACAGACTTGTATCTGTGTACACCACCTTCCCTTTCAGTTCTGTTCTGTCCCTGGCCTGTAAGGTTTGAGTGAATCCTGCCTCTCACCATAATCAGAACCCATCCTCTTCCAAGCGAACGGAGGGAAGGGGTGGGGGGGGCAGACCCAGTGTTATCCTCCTTCTCCCGCCCTCCAGCCACCCTGGGGAACACCCTGAGAGTGCCTTACTTGTCTTCTCCTTTACTGAACCAGGCTTTATCCTTCGGGTGTTTCGGCTGCAGTGCAGTGTGAGGCAGTAGCTCTGGGTACATAAACAATGCCCTGGTCGCCACGATCCAGGCCACTTCCTTCGGCAAATAGTTCGACTCATCAACTGTGCGAGAAACGAACTGCTCTTAACAAAACTACAACACGCACACCGTCACTCATCAGAACAACGGCCCGATCACACCTTCAGCACCTGGAGCAGGGAGAGCGCAGGGGACGGAGCGGGGTGACGGGACAGGGGGAGGGGGCAGGGAGCGGGGCGGAGGAACAGCTGGGAAGAAGGGAGCAGGGGGAAAGGGGGGAACAGGGCGTAGGGGAGCGGGACACAGAGTTTGTCAGCCATGACACAGCTCTGATGAACTGTAGGGTATCTTTCTACGCATAAGAGGGGCTGCCACATCTGACTCGATTTTAACCTGAGGGCAGTGAGTGTGTGAAAGTCCATCCCACAGCGGTTAAAGGGGAAGGTAGGGAGAGGAACCGCCAGCGATACTGTGAGATTGGAGAAGGTAGTGAGGAGAGATTCGTGTTAAGCCAGCTGGCTGTGAACATTTTACAGTTGGACAGCAGTGGTCACGGGAGACTCAAAGTGGACGGATTGCTGAGAGGTGGGAGAGCAGACTCACATCGCCTGTTCATCTTCTGGTCATCTTTCCGTGGCGGAATTTTCACGTGGGGTTTAATATTTGCATCAAACTCCTCAACGAGAGCCAGGGCCTCAGGCAGGTTGCAGGGCGAGAACATGGAGCTGAAATCTGGCTCCTTGGCTGAGTATACTTCACTTGCTTTCTTCGCAAAGCTGTCCAGCTCTTTCTAAAGGCAGAGAGACACACAGGGTTCAGGATTCACCGCACACACTGACAGACACACACATTCCCACTGTCACCACCCCCCCATCCACATTTACTCAGCACGTTTACCATGCTAAACATCCCATGGTGCATCAGCAACTATACGTCTGACACAGCCCCATGAGCAGTTACTAGGATAATGTAACCCAAAGCTTGCTCAGTGTCTGCACTTCTCCAATTCCAGCCCCTTGCATATTCCCCAGATTCCCATCGGTCCAACATTGGCAGCCATGCTTTCAGCTGCCTGGGGTCCTGAGCTCTGGAATTCCCTCTCTCAACCTTTCCACACTGTGGTCTCTCCCAGCTTCTAGAAAATGGACCAAAACAGTGCAGGAGGCTGGGCCCCCTTCCCAGGGCACCCCATCTTCTCTCCCTCTCTCTCATTCCTCAATAGCCAGCACTTCAAAAAAAAGCTTATGGTTCCAGAATAATGCTTTGCCCAATAGTACACCAGTGAAACACTCCAGGATGTTTTACACAGTTAAAGGTGCTACTCGAGTCGTTGTTTGTCCATAAGGGCCTAGCTTTCACTAACCTCCAATAGAGTGAACGCAGCCTGCTCCCCACCGACCGCCTCTGAAAAATCCATTAGGCCCTGGAGACCCTGACCACTCTGTTCCCCCCCCCACCTCCTGACACCGAACTTTTGCCACTTCCTTGCGCCATCCCTATCCTCCATGTGTATCTTCAAGATCTAAAACTCTATTGGCCTCCGTCTCAAGCACACTCAGTGGCCCGCCAGAGGTACAGGATTCCAAAGATTCACCACTCGCCAAGTGAAGAAATTCCTCTTCACCAATGGCCTGCCCTCTCCTTCTGACGCTGTGCCCCAAACTCAGGGGAAACATCCTTTCTCCATCCATCCCTGTTAAGCCTTTTGAGGCTTCAATGAGTCACAGAGTCATACAGCACGGAAACAGACCCTTCGGCCCAACCAGTCCATGCCGACCACAATCCCAAAACTAAACTAGTCCCACCTGCCTGCTCCTGGCCCATATCCCTCCAAACCTTTCCTCTCCATGTACTTATTTAAATGTCTTTTAAACATTGTAACTGTACCCACATCCACCACTTCCTCAGCAAGTTCATTTCACACACGAACCACCCTCTGTGTAAAAAACTTGCCTCATGTCTTTTTAAAATCTCTCCTCTCACCTTAAAAATGGACCCCCTAGTCTTTAAATCCCCCATGCTAGGGAACAGACACCTACCATTAACTCTATCTAACCCCCTCATTATTTTATAAACTTCTGTAAGGTCGCCTCTCAATCTCCTGGGAAAAAAATCCCAGCCTATCCAAGCTTTTTTTTTTAATAACTCAAGCCTTCTAGACCTGGCAAAATCCTGGTAAATCTCTTCTGGCCCCTCTCCAGCTTAACAATATCCTTAAACGTGAGAGGCTATAGGCACAGGTCTCCTGTATCCCTGCTCCCACAGGAACACCCCCCCGGCCCTGTCTAGGGTGGGTACAAACTTCTTCAGGTAAGGAGCAATCTTACACACAATGCTCTGGCTGTGGTCTCTCCCAGCTTCTGGAGAATGGGCCAAAACAGTGCAGGAGGCTAGGCCCCCTTCCCCGTGCACTCCATCTTCCCCACTTCTCTCTCTCTCTCCCTCCCCCCTCAGGAGGCTGTTCCTGTGCTGGATTCCCTCAGCCGGAGACAGCTCTTGGGTCAGAGTCACCCTCAGGCTCCCCGTCCAGTAGGTCGGTTGCTGGGAACACTCACCAGGAAGACTCTGGAGGTAGCTGCCTCTTGGCCGAGACTGGGGTTGATGCTGGTGAGCAGGTAGACCTGGGTTAGCAGCTGCACATGCTATGGGAACATAACACAGCGAGACAGTCACTTACAACCGAACCGCGAGGGGAAAGTGTCCGCACTGTCAGTGGCTGCCTGGATTCTGACCAAGGAACACAATCGGTGAAAGAAACCAGAGGTGGTGGTGACAGCAGCATGGGGAGGCCATTCAGCCTCTTGAGCCTGCTCCACCATCATGGCAGAGCTGATGTCTCCACTTCCCCCACCTGCCCCCAGTAACCTTTCAAAACCAGCCCAGCAAATATCCCGGGGCTCACCAACCTCAGGCCGAGAACTCATCTCCATCTCTGGGTCGCCCCTTTAAAGAGCTGGCGTGGGCACAGTGGGCCAAATGGCCCCCCTCCTGTGCAGGGTGGCAGTAGGAAGAGGGTAAAGTACCTCCCTGTGCTTTCCAGGCCAAGGTAGAGCATCCAAACCAGTCTCAAATAGAGGGCAGCTCCAGCAGGGACTGAAGGGAGTGTGCCACGGTTTAAGGTGCACCAGGCCCCGGGCACCATGAGATGGTCAACAGCGAAGCTCCTTCCCACAACACAAGGTCACTAAGGACTGAGAGCCCAACGGGTGGTGATCCAAACTGATCACAACGCTAAGACTGGTCCTCAACTCTCCTCCATCTCACTCAGCCTCTCCTCGGCAGGGGGCACATCATGATCCAGGGGACACCCAGGGACAGGGGGCCCATCATGGTCCAGGGAACACACCCCCCTCCCCGCCCAGGGACAGGGGGCCCGTCATGGAAAAACTGGGAGTCGGGGGGTAGGCTACCTTTGTGCAGATTACAGCAAGGGGGTCGGGGGAGCAATAGCAGGAGAGGCAAACACAGTACCCCTTCCAGCATCACTGAGGGGTTTTGGGGGAATGTCATCTCTGCAGTTAGATATCTCATGTTAGTTCCGTCTCCTGGCTCATGTTGGGAAGGGGCTGGGCTCCCAGCCGGCAGAGGGGGAAGTGGGGAGAAACAGTACTGGGGGGCATGCAGATGTGCGTGTGCGTGTGCGCGCGCACACACACACGCAGACAGAACCATACTCCCACCCTCTCTCTCACACACAGACACACAAACACTCTCCCTCCCTCACACAGAGACAGGCACGAGCACACAGATGCACATGCATGCACGCAGACACACAGGCGCACACACACAGGCACAGACAGAGACACACACAGACAGAGACACACACAGACTGACTGACACACACACACACACACTGACACACGCACACACACTGACACACGCACACACACTGACACACGCACACACACTGACACACGCACACACACTGACACGCACACACACTGACACACGCACAGACTTCACAAGGCCCGAGATGCCCATCACCTGCTGCATCTGTTGCTGAAGCTGCTGTTGCTGTTGCAGGTCTAGGAACAGGGTGTCCGGCTGCTGGCTCCTCCTGGAGGGACTCTTGGTCTCTGTGGCTGACACCTGCTGCCTGGCTTTCCGTTGCCGGAGCTGCTCGATCTGGGCCTTGACCGTTCGGTGCTGCTCGTTCAGGATGTTCGCCAGTGGCTCCTCATGCCTTCACCGGGAATAACCGAACAGGAAGATACAACTGAGCTGGCACACCGCAACCAGCCACTTCACACCCAGGGACTGCTTTAAAGCTCCCAGCTCCCTCCGATCTGCCCGGCTGGGAGACAGACCGAGGGAATGCTAGGGCGGAACGGGGGACGGGGAAGAGAAGGAAAATGAAACCCGTCTCCAAAGCCCCACATTGCTCAGCAGCTGCAGTTAGATTCTCTCTGAGCCTGTCGGCTAAAAAGGCAGTGAGGATGGGAGGGTGGGGGTCCCTGTGCACAGACTGTGGGGTCATGGGAACATCACTGCTCGCACAATCCAACGTAGCCCCATCTGACCAACCGTGAGAAACACAGGAGATAACAGGGTGAGCTCAGTCCAGATGGGTGTGGGGAGTGTTTTCAGGGCAGCCTGGGAAAAGCAGGTGGGATGACTGCGGGCTGGCAGCTCAGGGACACAGAACCGCTCAGCAGAAGCAGCTTCACACTGTGTCTGCCATAGCTAACAGCCGCGGGAATGTGCGTGAATGGGGGTAGCAGCCGAGACCACTCGGCCCTCTAAGACACTTGTGTGGCAACAAAGGGCACAGGCTGAGGGCAGCTCCGAGCAAAGCACACAGCAGTCTGAAGAGAAGCCAAGCTGAGGAGCCTCAAGTGGGCATCAATAGGTTCATTCCACAGTGACTAGACGCAGCACAGAACTTCAGAGGCAGAGATGAAGGTGGGAGGTAATAAGGGAGGATCTGAGACTGCAAAGGGGGAAGGGGGAGGGGGGGAGGGGGAGGGGGGGGGGAGAGAGAGAGAGGGGGGGGAGAGGGGGAAGAGAGAGAGAGAGAGAGAGAGTGTGTCTGTGTGGACATGTGGTAACACCATGGCAAAGACAGGAAAGTGACTGAGCTACAGCAGACTAAGTGGAGACCTACAGATACAGAGGGAGCGTGCAAACACAGAGAGAGCGACCAAGAGAGAAAGAGAGAGCGACCGAGAGAGAAAGCGAGAGAGTGTGTGACCGAGAGAGAGAGAGAGAGAGAGCGTGACCAAGAGAGAGAATGTGCAGAGGGACAGTGAGAGAGAGGGGAAGTTGAATGGTGAGAAACAGCCAGAGATAAGTTGGTGACAGGAGACAAAGTGAGACAGACAGAGAGAGGGGGATAGTGAGGGACAGTGACAGAAATAAGGCTGCCCTTCCATTTGCGATGTTTAACCCTCTGACAGTCCCTATGAACCATGGGGATAAAGCCCTCCCCCAGCCTGAGTTGTGCTTAAGCTGATCATTCACAATGTCACTCGTACACTCTAATGTCTGGGAGCTGCTCAGACACCACAGTAGTGAGTTTGAGTCCTTTCTCTGCCTCCTCTCCCAAACAGCAGCAGACAGAGCTGCGTCTGCACTGTCCCATCAAGAAGGAGGTGATGCAATCACATTTCTGCTTCTTTTTGAAGAATAAAGGTTCAGTACCAGTGTCACAAATCAACCCTCATGGTCTTACAGCATGTACCAACTCCTCCAAACATTAGCAGTGTGTTTAACATCAGGAACGGGCAACCACTTGAACCTGCTGTGCCTGTGAATATGGTCACTTTTCATTTCTCGACGCCACTAACCCTGATTAAAAAAACACAAAAACAAAACTGACCACCTTCTACCCTGAATGCTCATAACGTCTGTGAGGTCGAGAGTTCCAAACGAAATCCCCACAAAATCCACTCCTGCCGCCAAAAACAGGTTGGTGGTCAAATTCTGCCAGCGATGGGAGCTTCCTGTGTGCCAACTGGGCCATTTCATCAGAAGTGGGTATTTATATAGCACCTTTAATCCAGTCCAAAACTGACAATGGGGGCTTCTCCAGAAGACTCTGGAACAGATGTCGGCCATTCAGCCCGTCTAGTTGGCTCTGCTATTCTACAAGATCATGGCTGATTGAATTAACCTCAACTCCACTTTCACGCCTTTTCCCTCTAACACTTCCCGATTAAACATCTCTCTCAGGCCTTGAATATCCTTAATGAACCAGCCTCGCCAGCCCTCTACGGTAAAGAATTCCACAGACACAGTACCCTCTGAGAGAGAAAGAATTTCACCTCTGCCTTAAACAGAGCAACCCCTGATTCTGAGATAATGCTATCTGAAGGTCCTGGACTCTCCAACAAGGGGAAATAACCACTCCATATCTCCCCAGTCATGTATCCTAATAATGTTGTATGCTCCAATAAGGTCGCCTCTCATTCTTCTACATTCCAGTACAGGACAAGCCTACCCGACTCCCTCGTAAGATGGCCTAGTGGTATTATCGCTGGTCTGTTAATTGAGACAATGTTCTGGGGTCCCAGGTTCGAATCCAGTCACAGCAGATGGTGGAATTTGAATTCAATAAAATTTCTGGAATTAAGAATCCATTGATGACCATGAATCAATTATCGATTATTAGAAAAACCCATCTGGATCATTAATGTCCTTTAGGGAAGGAAACTGCCATCCTTACCTGGTCTGGCCTACATGTCACTCCAGACCCACAGCAATGTGGTTGACTGTGAACTGCCCTCTGGGCAATTAGGGATGGGCAATAAATGCTGCTCAGCCAGCAATACCCTCATCCTGTTAATGAATAAAGGAAAAAAAACTCCCTCCAGAATCAACTGTCCCCGGACTGCCTCCAATATCACCCCATCTTTCCTCAGGGAAACTGTTCACAGTATTCCACTGTGGTCTGACTAGTGCACCCTATAGTTTTCACAAAGCCTCTCTATTTTTATACTGCAATCCTGCTGAAAGAGGCCCACAGAAAGAATTCAGTCTGGCTGTGCTATATAGGAAGGAAGCGTAGGGGTCAGATGCACCACACTCTGAAATTGTGAGTTATTCCAACAACCTTTCCCTTTCTTACCTCATTGCCTGAGGGGTATTAAAAGTACTGTGAAGCTGCTCCTGGGTATCATCATCTCCTGTTTCCTCCTCTACATCCAGGACACCCATCTCATCCTGAAACTGGAGAAACAGAGAGAGAGAGGAGAGGGTGAGAGAGACAAGGATATCGGAATCCCCTCAAAAACAGAGCTGCCGGGAAATCTCACAGCTCAGGGAAAGGTCGTGCTGACGAATGCAAGATGTAGAAACCCAGGTCACAGCGCTGCCTATGGTCCACAGCCTGCCACTGCAACGTTACTGTTTACATACAAGATTTTCATTCTAAATGTTGACATAAGCAGCCTCAACAATAAACCCTGACATCAGAGATATGACTCAGCATTGTGACACTGAGAAGCATTATGTACATAATCCATACCTTTTTATTCTTAACTATATACATCGTTATATTTAAAAATACATGAGTGTTTTTTCCCTCTGCACTTCTTTCAGGTTGGACACATTGTTAACCTCCCCTATCCACATTCTGAATGGTACATTCTGATGTAAACAAGTTATGGTGTGAGATCTCCTGGCACAGAGAGAGAGCAAGACAGCGTGAGTGCGCATGAGCATGCATGTGCTTGTGCGCGAGCGTACGCGTCCGGATGTGCATGTTTGTGTGTGCATGCGCATGCATGCGTGTACGTGTATGCAGGTCTGCGTGTGCGTGCACAGGTGTGCAGGTGCTGTCCTTGCTCCAGCTGGGAGCTGACCAAGGCTCTATATGTATAAAGTACTGTGTCTCCCTGTTTAGAGCCTCCCATCCACACCAGCTTCTGGACTTATCAATCTGCAACTCCCATCTGCCTTGCAATTAGTTTTTAAAATACTTGTCCACCAACTATTAGCAACTCAGCAAAAACAATCCCCTTACAGAGACATCTGGAGTAGGTGACTTGCTGAAAGGGCAGTGGGATGGGGGATTCTGTAGTCCTGCCCTGTAGAGTGGGGGAGGTTTGTAAGACAGAATCCTGAACAGTCTGAGCACATGCCACTGGGACTGGGCCAGAATTTTTCACCCGCCACTAACTGCCCCTTGAGAAGGTGGCAGTCAGTCCACATGACGGAGGGTAACCCTCAGTGCTGTGAAGGAGGGAGGGAGGGATTTTGACCCAGGAGCACTAAAGGACCAGCCGAGTCCAGGTTGGGACCATGAGTGTCCAGGAAGTGACGTGGGAGATCTCACCAATAGCAGCTGAAAAACTAACCTCTCATCCGAGAGAGGGAGAGGAAACGCAGAAGAGAGAAGCTGCATCAGCTCTCCGCTGAACTCAGAGGTGAAGACGGGAAGTGAGAAATGCAGCCAGGTGGGACGAGTTTAGTTTGGGAACACACTCAGCATGGACTGGAAGGACCGAAGGGTCTGTTTCCGCACTGTAGGACTCTATCCCGAGGGGATTAAAAATGGCTTCACTGGCCACATTACACACACACGCAGACAGACAGACAGACACACACACACACACGTGCGTAAATATCCTCGCTGCTACAGGTAGTCCACAGCAGGTCATCAGTCTCTGCTTACAGCTTGAAGCAAGGTGTAAAACACAGTCACAGAGAGAACGCACCAGCTCCAAATGGCACTGATCCTACACATGGGTGCAGTACCCAGAGGAACAGGCTCAGTGCCAAGGTCCTGTGTAAACTGGCACTGCCAAACTGGAGCTGCCTGCAGAAAGAGAGAGAGAAAAAGGGGGATGGGGGAGAGAGAGAAAAGGGGTGATGGGGCAGAGAGAGAAAAAGGGGGATGGGGGAAGAGAGAGAAAAGGGGTGATGGGGGGGGGGGGGGGGGAGGGGTGGGGGGGGGAAAGAGTGCACGGGGTGAGAGAGAAAAAGGGAGGAATTCAAAAGGGGAAATGAGACTTTGAAACTTACCGTCTCAAACAACTCCTCCATCAGCTCATTCACCTCCTTTTCTGGGGAGAGACAGCGAGAGATGATGATTTATAACCTTGCCAGCACCCTCACTGACCAAAAGCGCAGGAACCGAGCTCGAAATTCACCCGGTCACAGTTACCACCACAGGGAGGGAATACAGAGGGGGGTAGGAGCTGGCAAAGAGGGTGCCTTCCCCTGATTCTCATTTACACTCGCTCCGACCTCACGCAACCCCACCCCCCACCCCCGCCGGTCCCCCTAAATTCCTGATACATTTCCTTAATACTCCCGTTTGCTGCCAACTCCCATTTCCTGGCCCCCACCCCCAAATGCCCACTCCCCTTCCTCATTACTCACATTTATTCCACCTGTGCCCCATTTTCCCCATTCCCTGAGCCCACCCCCAATTCCCCCACAAGGTAGGGAGTTACACATACTAGTAATCTGTACAGCTCGGTCATTCCGGAAATCTTCCATGTCCGGTTCATCGAGGTCTTCCAGGAAATTGTATTCCGGATCATCCTCATCGTCTGTACAGGACAGGCAAACACGGATAGTGGAGAACGGACAAACAAACCTCTGAGACATCGGCCACATAACTTTATACATCCTCACTGTTCGAGATCAACAGAGTGTCCTCAAATTCACTTTGCAAACACTGCACCTTCAACAGCGCAGCGCTGACCCTCCGACAGCGAGGCGCTCCCTCAGCGCTGACCCTC